TCCGTATTTCCATTCACTTCTCTTTTACATCTTGCACACAGGACGTCTTCGTCCTTTTTTGGTTCTTTCCCCTTGATTCGTTCAAAGACACTGGGATGTGGTCTAGGATCCTCTTCTCCATCATCTATGACCAACTTGAATTTTGGCAACTTATTTTTGAAACCAGACGTCACCATGTTCACTCCAAGTGGTTGTGGAAAAGGATTTTCATCCACTGCCATTTTCTTCTTATCTTCGAACGTAATTCGTCCTGATTCAATGGGATCCTGCAACACATGGCGAAAAACCAAGCAATTGTTAGTCAAATGTGATCATGCATTATGCCACTTACAATATTTTTACCCTTAATTTGTTCAGGGTTTGGCAATTTGTGCTTATCGCTCAACTTTATCTGCTTATCCCTATATAATTTATCAAATATAAGGTCAGCTTTGGTTACATCGAACGAGAACGTTCTAACCTTTATGTTTTCATCTTTTATGGGCTCATCTTTGCCCGATGGTCTAGGCTTGGCCATTATGGGACAAGCATACGTATCTCCTTTGACCAATTCGGCCAAACACATTTTGGCCTGGTCATATGGCTCGTCACTAATGGTATGAATATCAAAATTTGGGTCTTTATAATAAGTCTCTTTACTAGAATTTTTCATCTGTTCTTCCTCTCTTATCAGTCGTTCATACCTAATCACATTCGCACTCAACTGGAAAAGGTCAGGAAATTCCTTGTCTTGAAATTTCTTTTTTAAATCAAAGCTCAAGCAGCCCTGAGCGATTTTGACAAATTCTTTTTCGGGTAGAGGCACAAAACACTTACTTCTTGCTATCTTGAACCTTTGGAGAAAACTTTCTGCCCATTCGTTTGGCATTTGACGTAGATTCGCCAAATCAGCCAAAGTGACTTCAGACTCAGTTTTATAAAACTGAGCATGAAATAACTGTTCCAATTGTTACCATATTTGAACAGAGTTCGCTGGCAAGTTGATGAACCAGGAAAAAGCTACTCCTGTTAACGAACTAGGGAAAAGCCTCATTTTATGGTAATCAGTTACATCACCACTTTGCAATGTGAATCGCCCTATGTGTTCTAGAGTAGACACCTCTCCTAAACCGATAAACAGTGATAATTCTGGCACTTTGTACCCTTTACGCCATTGATATGCTTGATCTATCCAATCAGGATATGGCTTTGTGTACGTCGGCCTAATGACTGGACGCACCCCAAAAGCCATCTGATCCTGTACGATTTCCATAATCTGATTCCTCAACATGATGTTGGGATCATATGAAATTCCTACAGGCTGATTAACCGATTGATTTGCATGAGGCCTGATGTTTGGTCCTTGATTGGCAACAAAATTACCATAATTAGGGCCATTACCATTAGCCTGAACATCTATTTCCTCATTAACACGTGGGGTGTGTTGTCTATTGTTTAGGACATTATCTCTTATGTTTGGATTATTCCCCAAGTTAGGCGTACCATTACCATTGTTCTGATTTGGCACTGCAGTACCCCCTTGGTTTGAAGTAGAGGGACCAGAAAGTGGTTCTATCCCTTGATTTGGATTTAGGATTGAGGGATTATGTCCCACAATTGTCCTAGTTTGAAAGTGATTTGCAAGAGGTATAACCGGTTGACATATTTGGCCTACTAACTTATTCATTGTTTCGTTCAAAGTATTTAGTTGTTTGGCCATGTTGTCATAGTGTGCATTCCCATTTTGGGTAAATCTTTCCATATTATGAATACTTCAAAGATTTACCTGTTCAACAACGTCTTGTGTGAGTTCTCCAAGTAATGCACGCATGGTTCGAGGACTCAACTCCGTCATTGGTTCGTAACGACTGTTACTGCTCTGATTCTGTTCATCTGTTCGTGGAGAGGCATGCTGCTCCTCATATCGCTCGATCACAGACTGGATTCCTCCCTGACTTGCTGCTTCCTTATCGGATCTCTGAGGCATATTGTTTCACCTTTTGTACTTTCAACACCAAACACCACTGTCCCACTGGGCGTGCCAAATTGTTTCGCGCGGGTTAGTCGCTAACAATTAAAAGGGATCAGACGATTGTGTAAGGGACAAACCTCTTGAGACAAAGTCCCAAAAAGGGGTGTTCTTTTATTGGCGATGACTTTACAATTGGAAATTAAAAACAAAGTGCCTCCAAGGGGCGCAAGCACACGAGTTACTGAAAAAAGTTTGAGTCTAATCTAAGGAAATTAAAATTACATGTTCTCTGTTCGAGAGTTTTGGATTCGGTCCTTTTGCTCTATGTCTTTTCTCCCTTTTATACTTCATGGACGATCTCTTTGTGATCAACCGCTTAAAAACTGCTTGATCGTTCTGCAACTACCCACTTTCCTCATAATGGCCAGCTTGTCATGAAAACTGTCTTATTTAACTGCTGCCATTACTCTTCGTCGTTCAACTGTTTTCGATTGAATTCCTTGAATCGTGGAACGTGTTGGGGCTGTTTTGATAACTGCTTTGATAACTGCATTTCTTGATAATCTCAACGCTTTATATTTGTTAAGACTTTGGGCGACTTGAAGGTATTGGCGAGAATAGAGTAATAGCTCTGGGCGACTGCATGGCACTCCATTCGCTCAGATTCTGGGCGACTTGCAATCTTGGGCGATGGCGTTACCACGCTTTTGGGCCTTTATCTTGAATTGTTTGATTAGGCTTCGTTCTTTGAGCTATCTGATTTGGGGATTCTCCAATTGGGCTTCATTCCTTGAGCCGTTCGATTTGGGCCGAATTTTTATGTGTCAACAAAACTAACATCATTTTTACTAATATCATACCTTAACCATCAATAAATACCTTTTTTTTCTATGCGATGGATAATTTCTTTCTAAACTATTTCAATTGTAACCTCTATATTTTATTTTTTTTTAGAAAAAAATTGACTTTCAAAATATTATGTATAATTCCAAAATTTCTCCATATAAAATGCCTGTTTGGAAGGGATTTTTTACCCAAAAAAATGATTTTTTGACCGTTATTTCACTATTACAGCCGTAATTTTTTACTTCTTCTCTCATAGGTAGACCACACTTTTCTTCTAACGGTCAAAAAATCAATTCTCAAACTCCCTCCCAAACGGGGCCAAAGGCAATCCCTCCAATTTTTACTGGCAAGTTCAACTTTTTGTTCCCTTGTTTCACCCCACATATATCCCATTCTTCCCTCACTTTCCTCCCATTTATCGCATTCCCCCTTCATTCCTGCCCAACATATGCAAAGTTTACAACATTCTCACGATTTTTCAACCATTTGATCCTTCTCAAAACTCATATCGATGTTAACTTCAACTGAGGATGACTACTAGAGTAAGACGGAGTTCCATGCCTAGGGTCCCCAGAGTACAAGATGAGGAGGATAATTACTGGATTGAGAATGGATTTGAGGATACAGATGGGTCTCTTTCTGCAAATGAAAATGATGGACTTGACTGTAGGAAAAGGGGTCCTAATCACGGCACTAATGTTTGCGCAGATGAATCTGGAAGAATTCTTTTAACTGTGGAAGGCAATAGGTAATTATCTGAACTTTTTTTAGGGGATTTCAGTTTGAATGCAAAATGGTATCAATGATTTCAAATGTACTGAATTACTGTGGGAGATAGGAAGTATACTTTGGCTGTTTGTTGGCTTATCATGTCCATCCGTTTGTTAATGGAACAGGGCATATTTTTTGATAAATGTTTTTTATTTTGTTCCATGTTATGATTTTTATTGTTCTTTTTAGGGTCCAAAAATTTTGTGTATTATTTCGGCATTTATGTCTGCATTTGCAATTTTTAAGTAGCATTGTGTTGTGGTTTAGATGGCCGGTAATTTCATGGGTTTACTTGGTTATCGTTCTTGTATTGAGTTTACTTGTCAAAATTTTTCCCTTGCATATGTAAATTTCTGTTTGTTATTAAATATATGTTATATTCTGCAATCTTTTACTACACAAAATACCCTTTTCTATGGAGAATAATCTTATTTCATAACAACTTGTTCTAGTATTCATTGATCTTTAGTGGACACTATCTCTAAAGAGATGCGACCGTTTCATAACTATCTAAGCTCGATTTTTTTTTTTTTTTTTAAGTCGTGGCCATCTTGAGCTTTTATAATTGCAGATTCATAACGATCTTAGCTTCATGTGCTGTAAGTGCCAATTTGAAGGCTCACTTGGAAGGATATTATCCTACATCTAGTTTGGTGCCGGTTGACACAAAAAACTTCTTGTGGGAAAGATTTCAGGTAATATAAGTTTCTTCTAAATATACTTATTGTCCTTATAAATTTTCATTGTTTTAAGTGTAGGTAAATCGTACCATACTTTGATATGAATTTTGGGTCAACAAACTTACTTGAAATGATGAATTTCAAGATCTTTGTGTGATTGAATCACCTTGCTTTCAAATCTCCAAAATTAGTATTTTCTTGTACTCCAATGATCTAAATCCCGATCACAATGGAAGGGAATTATTGTTCACAATCTAAGTGCCATTTCTCGTGAGATTTCATGCCAAAAATGTGATTCTAGTGACTTTCCAATTTTGAGGTAAATTTCCATACGAATTTTTTTCACCATTTTTCTCATGTCTTACATTTTCCGCCTCTTTTCCAAAACTTCCATATGGAAGTTTAAAGTGGTTACTAACCTTTGAATCCACTATCCGCACAAGATAAGATCCAATATGTACAATGTTGACACGTAAACAACACTAAGAGAAATATATTCAAGTGCAATATCTTTTAGTTTAATCACTTTTGAGCTAAGAGATTCAAATCGTATAGTTGAAGCACTTGAGCTTTTATAACATTGATCCTCTACCAAAATCACTTTCATTCGCTTACTATCTGATAGTTTGTCTTGATCCCTTTACCAGTCTCTCACATCTATCCCGCATTTGTTCTAACTCATTCAATACTTAAGATTCAAAATCTTATGCAAACTAGAACATTGCTACACAAGCATGTCCTCGAAACTTAGCAACATCAAGTCGCACATCTTTTAACTCATATAGCGGGTAGTATCAATAGAAAAAAATTGACATTTCAATTTGTAAGTCACAATAACTTTCAAAATTCCATATATTAAGAAGAAATTAATTTGAACTTACTACTCATCTAAAATTAATGTGACCAATGAAAATGTTAACACTATGCTAACCACCAACTAAGTCACATTTGAGAAAAAAGATCATTTATAACATAACTTAACAATTTAAATGCTCGAGTACTAAAATTCACATTTTCCCGTACTTGACTAAGTTCGATTCTGATCTTTATTCTCTAGAGTAGTATGACCTACATAATGTCTTCTATTACATGGTTGATGCTCTCTAAAGCATCATGTCCTTTTAGTACATTTAAAATCTTATCATGTCAAATGTTATCGTATTTAGTTTATCACATTTATTAAGGTTAAATTCTATAGATTTTGATGCCATGATCTATCAGATTTTTAAAGACATGTTATTCTTAATCAATGCTCATTTATGTACCTATTTAAGTTTGCATTAACGCAAATTAACATCTACGATAGTTCAACGTTAGGCACAGAGTCGAAAGTTCACTATGTTTCCAATCATTGTTTGCAATCCTATCGTTTCACTATAAAAAACTTAATTTAATAATGCAAAATTCCATGGGTTCTAAGTGAGAATCACATTAATTCTTCCAACTTTAGAACTCCACTCAGTTGATGAATCAAATAGTTCTTAGTGAGATTTTCTCTAAATCTTCCAATCACCTAACTATCACTCAACTGACAATCAATAGTTCTAAGTAAGAATTTCACTAATTCTACCGACCTTAGCATTTATAACAATACATGATGTATTCAATTAGATAATTTCATAATATGCAATAAAAACATAAATATGCACATTTATCCAATCATGACATTCATTATGATATAACAAATTAATTCTTTCAGAAGATAACTTCAATTATAATTCAAAAATAAAACTAACAGCGTTTAAGTTTTATTTTACAAATTCTCAATCCCATCTAAATCTTGATCGCAACACAGTCCTAATAATTGGGAAGTGACATTAGAATTATTATATTCTGCTTGTCATCAAAAACTTATATCCTAAAATATTTACGTGTTCCATAATAGGTCATGTTCTAGATCCATTCATTTATATCGATAAGCATGAAACATTTCAACAAGTTTCATAACCTTTGGTTTTCTAGCATTCTTTCTAAGGATGCTATAAATGTGCACAAATCTAACCATGTTTGATTAAGCACAAAAAATTGAAAACAAGTCACAATGGATTACATAACCTAATTAAGACCCACATAACTCATGAACGTATATATAATGCGGTATTTTAAATACTTTCAGAGTATTTTTCATTTAAAAATGAAACACTTCAAAAAAAATAACTCCCACTAGGCAAATACTGCTTAACAAATATTCTCGATTTTTATAAAAATTTTAGAATTGAATCGAGTCCAAATTTTTTTTTTTGATTATCTAAAATTAATTTTAATTGCACATAAAAATCAAGAATATTTGAGGGACCAATTTTCAATTTTCTAAAATTCATTTGAAAAAGTCAAACTGTAATTTTATTTGACATTCCAACTTTTAACCCTTTTTTTAAATAAAAAAAGGGACATTGAACACCCACTACATGTCAATCCGCGGCGCTTATTCAATGAAAAAATTCATTAATTCGTCCCTCTAATTAATTTTAACGTTCTGAGTTCATCTGTGTAGTCAGATTTCATAATATCAGCTTTTAAGATTGTGTTCTGGACCCAAACAAATCGGATCGAGACTAGAAAATGGGAAAAAAGTATTGTTCATCTTTAAAAAAAAACAAACATAATTTTCAGATTATTTATCAATATTTCGAGAGGCCATAACTTCTTCATTTCAAGGCCAAAATTTATGTTCTTTATATTGTTGGAAAGGTCCCGAGAAGATCCATCCAACCATATCAAATGGGCATCATGAAACACAATGTGGAAGAAGTTATCATCTGATAAAGTTTCTGATTTTACAAATTTTCACTAAAAAAAAAAAGATTTTCATCTAAATTTTGGGAAGGCATAACTTTCTCATCTCACGTCCAAAATTAATGATCTTTATATCGTTAGAAAGGTCTCGAGAAGATCTATCCAACCATACCAAATAGATAGCATGAAACTTAATGTATAAAAATTTATCACGTGATGAATTTCACGGTTTTACCAAATTTCACGTTTAAAATTCGGATTATCATCCAAATTTCAAAAACTCATAACTTCTTCGTTTTAAATCCAAAATTTGAGTTCTTTATATGGTTCAAAAGCTTATGAGAAGACCTTTCTAACCATACTAATTTTACTGTTTTGAAGATGAACGAACAAATGACAGTAAATTATCAAATGATGCTATTAAATACCACATAAGGTTTCAAAACTTTGCATACAAGATTCATAACCCAATTCTATCATGTAATGGCATAATTAAGCATGAATTACAACAAGGAATTCAACCTTATGGCTCTAATACCAATGTAGGAAAATCGTAGCATACTTTGATATGAATTTCGGGTCAACAAACTTACTTGAAATGATGAATTTCAAGATTTTTGTGTGATTGAATCACCTTGCTTTCAAATCTACAAAATTTGTATTTTCTTATACTCTAATGATCCAAATCCCAATTACAATGGAAGGGGATTATTGTCCATAATCTAAGTGCCATTTCTCGTGAGATTTCATAACAAAATGTGATTCTAGGGACTTTCCAATTTTGAGGTGAATTTTCATACGAATTTTTTTCACCATTTTTCTCATGTCTTGCATTTACCCTTCTTTTTCATAACTTCTATATGGAAGTTTCAAGTGGTTACTTGAGAGTTATGGGTTTGAATTCTAAATTCAAACCACTCCCTCCAACCCTTATAAAATCCTGCGGGTCGGGTCATCCCACATGGGCGACCCATTATCCGTATTTTTCAACATTAAGTACTAAAAGGTTGGTACCTACATTAGCAACAATATTCATGGCCAAAAAATAAAGATAATGAGGTGAAGGAAGCATGGAATACTGCCTCAACTGATCGACTGCGAGATATATTTTGTTTGGCTCGAAAAAAGGCTAAGGAAAATAGTAAGTCTGAGATAATAATTGATTGGAAGGGATATGGACCACCATGGTTAAGTGTAGAGCATTGTAATGATATAATTGAGACCAAGTGGAACAATGAAGGATGGAAGAAGTCTAAACTTGGCCATGATGACCGGCTGACTATAAAGTCAGGAACCATCACTAAGCACACTGCTAGTTCCATAACAATTGCTGCCCACAAGCTGAGGCTGGTAATGCGTAACTTGCATGATGAAATTTCATAGATGATTGACATGTTGCATATGAGCATCTTATTCTATATATTATGTTCATTTTATACCAAAATTTCATTCGAGTTTTCTCTATCCATTTTATGTTAGATGTGGGAAAAATCAGCATACTCTAGTTGAATTTCATTTGGGAAAAATCAGCATGTTCTATCTTTATTTTCAGATTGTTCTGGCTGCAATTAATCTGGGAAAAGTCATCATGTTTTGTGTTTATATTCAACATGTTGTATCTGAAATTAAGTTGAAAAAAAAAATGTATGTCTGTCTTTGTATTCAGTATGTTGATGCAAGTCTTCATTCACTTGGCATTTTGATTTCAGGAATGTGTATAAATTAAACATGATGTGCTATTTGATTTATTCCTAATCAAGAATACTTTAAACTAAAGTATGCATTTATTGATTGTTTTCAGCATGAGAAATTAGGAAAACCACTACTACTTCACAATTATTCGAACGTGTACACCATCGAAACAAAGGAGAAGGAGACTTCGTAGACAATAAGTCACGAATTGTGTGGGTAAGTAGAAATAAATTAAATTTTGATTAGATTCTATACTCTAAATTTCATGTTATTAACTAGTTAGTCCTAGACACTAAATGGTGGTTGAATGATTACCTTCTTGGAGTTTGATGGACTCATTATTTGCTCATGTACATTAAGTTACTTGGAATCTTCTTAGGAGTAATAATGTCACCACTTCATTCGTTCTATCATGTTTCTATACATTGTTGGTTTTCTTAGGGTATAGTATATGTGTAATAGAAAACTTTATATTGTGTTCCAGCTAAGTGAAGTTATATATTGTGGTAGCACAAAATGACTTTTAATCCATTATGATTTCAGGTCTAAAGAAAATTGGTTTATTTGTTGATAGCATTTTTTAATCCATTTTGATTCCTTGGCATTGAAATTTGATGTAAATTAGCATGTAGAACTGATTGGTGATGCACAAAACATGTTTTTTTGGTTTTGACTTGAATGACCCTTCAATTTTTATGGTTTTAACTTGTCTGTATTCTGGCCATTGGGAAGGACAACAGCATTAGCTACTGTGGTACTGAGAATAAGCTGAGCAACAATACAATAATTCACACCTTTTTCCTTTTATAAAGTTGAGGTGCTTCTTGTTTTACAGGAAAAATATGACACTGCTATTCATGAAAAATATGGTTCAAATGTGTCACAACCTAAAATTGACATTGAAGCATGGTGTGAAGCAACTCAACATCCTTGTAAAGGTGGTCACTTGTATGGGCTTGGTATTAAATGAAAACCTTTGCCAAAGATGTCTCCTCCTCTGGTTCACCTAATGTTCCATATGATGATCAAGTTGATTTCATCACTTCACAAGAGGAACTTCGATCTGCTTTTGAGAAGATAGATCAACTTACAAGGGCAAATGATGAATTACTTCAAAAAAGGAAGATGGAAGGCGAGAAAAAGCACATTGAATTTGAACAAACCATACTTTGAATGTTGGGAAAAAGGAATGGATCACGAGATTAGACATTTGAGCACAATGATCTTCAATGGTTGGGCATAGCAATGTTTATTTTGTTTATGAAAATTTACCATTGAATGTGCATAGAACTTTCTTTTGCTAATTGATCAAGTGTATAATTTTAGGGGGTGTTTGATAGGCATTTTTATTTAAAAATGCATTTTAGAATAGTAAATTGATATGAAATGTATGGTTGAGAAATAAAGAAAAAATTTTGATTTACGTGTAATATTATTTTAATAAAGAATGTGCGATTGAAAGAAGAGAAAGAAAAATACATTTTGAAAAAAATGGCTACCAAACGGGGCTTTAGTATTTACTTGAGCTGGATGCAAAATCAATCTAATTTTGTCTAACTTTGAACCTTGAAGTAATGGAATGAAAATATTTGTATTTTGTATTTGTTTATTTATGATTTTATTATATATATTTTTACTTTTTAAATAGTTTTAATTCACAATAGAAATATATTAATATAATAATTAATGGGATTTTTTCAAAAAAAAATTGTAATCCAAATTTTCGATGGAAATAACAATGGAAGATTCGTAGCTATTTAGGAACAATTAGTTTGGTAGGAAAGGAATATAAAAACGAAAGATTTGTAACTATTTAAAAAACAATTATTTCTGTAGGAAATACATCATTAGTTAGCGACGAAAACAACAACAAAAGATTCATAGCTATTTAGGAACAACTGGTTCCGTAGGAAAATACGTCGGTAATTAGTGACGAAAACAAGAACTGAAGATTCGTAGCTATTTTAGAAACAAGTAATTAAACCATTGTTAATAAAAAAACGAAGCAGTGATGAAATTTCCGTCACCAATTAGCTAAGACAAAATTTTGTTGGTGAATAGCAACATATTTTTTCGTCGCTATTATCAACGGAAATATATAATCTATCACTACATTTACCGGTGGGCTATTTACTGGCGACATTTACTGACTAATGGATTTTGCCTCTAAAAGTTATTACCAACGAATTTTGGGGCTTTAGCGACAAATAATTCCATCTCTGAAGCTGCATTTTTTTGTAGTGTGTGTTACTACATGCTTTCAGTAGCTGACAAATTTCTTACAAGATTTCATTGCAATTCAAAAATTTGGCTTCCTTTTTCTACGAGTCGAAGACGACCTTGAAGCACCGAATGAATTGACCCTATCCAAGCCTTTTCCAAGCAAGATCTTAACCCAATGAGCTTGATCATAATAAGCCTTGATTAAATTAATGGAATTGGCTTAAAAAGATGGAGATTTTCTTTCTATTAGTTGCCCTTTCAAAGATGAGAGAGCAAAATTGACTCTCGTGAGGGGATTTATAAAGTAAAGAAACTCATGATTTGAAGATGAAAGATCAATCTAGTCAACATGGCCTATGAAATCGATTTCATATTTTGAGTAAGAAATGTGAGAAAATGTTTTCTTCCTTGTGTGTTTGACACAAGTGTTAAAATCAAAGCATACGAATTTTAGTTCTTATGAGTTAGGACACTCAAAACTTTTGTGTTCAACTTCCCCGAATGCAGAGGTTGAGTCAACAAAGGAAAGAGACAAGGGAAAGCAACTTTTTTCTACTTTACTAATTATGCTAAAATTAAGTCATTGTCCAAGGTCTGGAAAATGCTTTGCACTCAACGTGATGATCCATACTTTAGCGCCTTTCCTCCAATTTATGGATGAAAAAAGCCAAATTTTCCAAATAGACAGGAATTTCCCTTTTCTTTATCATGTAGAATCTCTGTGTAGATGTGTACAATAATTACACGGAGAATTGGAACAAACTCCAGGAAATCTCTAATTTTAAATTGATTTAGTTAGAATAAGCCTTGATTTATTGTTTATAATTATTAATGAGCATGCCTAATTACCACTTCTCTCTAAAATCTCTTTCGTCAGCAGTGACGTATGTCTCGTGGTCGGGCATGAAAAGTTGAGTCAAAACGGACAAGGATTTCAAACTTGTAATAAAGTTCACACTTCAATGAGATATTTTATCCGTTGACTAACTCACGATAAGGTTACAAATTGCATTATATTCTTTTCCCAACTTGCAGTTGATCTGTACAATCGTTCTCAATTGCATTATAAGAAGTTCTTCCATCTCCCTCTCCACCAGCTCCGACCGCCCTCTACCGCCACTGCTGCCACCAAAGCATCTATGGAAGTGGAAGGCCGCAAGGTTGAAATATTTTTCTTCCCATTTGTTGGGGGAGGCCATTTGATCCCAATGATTGATCTCGCTAGGCTCTTCGCATCCCACGGCGTCAAAGCCACCGTAATCACCATCCCAAACGACATCACTGTCTTCCAAAAATCCATAGACAGAGATCAACAAACTGGCCTTGACATCAACTTCCATGCCCTCGAACTGCCTGCCGATGCCACCCTCCAAAACGTCGACATGTCAGCTCCGCCAATGACCGATACCTCAATTCTCCAAGAACCTTTCAAGCAACTCCTAATCCATCGCCGCCCCGACTGTGTTGTAACTGACACCTTCCACCGCTGGGTGGCGGACGTAATTGATGTAATTGGAATTCCTAGAATCATCTTCAATGGTAATTGCTGTTTTGCTCGGTGTTGTGATGAGAATATTAAACGATTCTCGCCACATAAAGAGGTGGCATCGGATATGGAGCTTTTTGTCGTGCCGGGCCTCCCGGATAAGATTGAACTGACAAGGTCTCAGCTCCCGATCTTCGTCCGAACTGGAACTGAGTTTCCGGGGAAGTCCATGAGAGCTGAACAGAACAGTTTCGGACAGGTTGTTAATAGTTTCTATGCTTTAGAACCAGCCTATGTTGATTATTACAGAAATGTAATTGGTAAGAAGACTTGGCTCGTCGGACCCGTGTCACTATGTAACCGTAATCTTGAAGACAAGGCGGCAAGAGGCCAAAAGGCCACCATTGACGAGAATAGTTGCTTGAACTGGCTTGATTCAAAGAAACCTAATTCAGTTTTGTACGTAAGTTTTGGCAGTTTAGCTCGATTAAGCCCTACACAGCTTTATGAGATTGCTTGTGGTCTTGAATCAGCAGGGCACCCTTTTATTTGGGTGGTTGGAAAAATTTTGGATGATAAGGACAAAGAGAATTGTTTTCCAGATGGATTCGAAGAGAGAATTTTGGATTCCAAAATGGGTTTGATAATCAAAGGATGGGCACCGCAATTGTTGATCTTGGAACATGAGTCTATTGGTGGATTTATGACTCATTGTGGATGGAATTCGACTTTGGAGGGTGTTTGTGCTGGTTTGCCTATGATCACATGGCCGCTGTCGGCAGAGCAGTTTTACAACGAGAAGTTGGTGACCGAGGTGTTGAAGATTGGAATTCGGGTGGGAAGTGAGGAGTGGGCGTCCTGGAATATGGAGAGAAAGATAGTGGTGGGGAAGGACAAGGTGAAGGCGGCGGTTGTGAGGTTAATGGGTGGCGGCGTTGAGACGGTTGAGATGATGCGGCGAGCCAAAGTGTTGGCGGAGGAGGCTAAGAGAGCGGTTGAAGTTGGTGGCTCTTCATTTAATGATGTTGATGCTTTAATTAATGACATCAATAATTAATTAATGACATCAATAATTATGGGAGTTGATAATATTCGAGAGTCCCAACTCTCAAGTCCGTTGTATTTTTTTTTTTTATTTTTTTTTTGCTTTTTGCTTGATTTCTCAAATGTATTGGCTATAGACTTGGTCTATCTATCTTTGAAATTTATAATTTGAACATATCATTTAATTAATTTTGCATACTCAAAAGACTAAATCCAAGACGGGAAAAATTGAATCGATTGAAAATATGCTTTTAGACATGAATCACATTTCTTTCAAATTAGACGAGAATTTCCGTGTCCATTTCACAGGTCCACCGTTGCACCAATGCACCCAACGCTAGGACGTCCACGAACCATGTCCCATGATATTTATGACCATTTGTTCGTTAAGATTGTTGACACATAAAAATTCAGTCCAAATCGAACGGTCCAAGGAGTGAAGCCCAATTGGAGGACCCCAAAATCAGATAGCCCAAAGAACGAAGCCCAATCAAACAAATCAAGATGAAGGCCCAAATAGGGAGGCCCAAGAACGCAGTAACGCCATCGCCCAAGTTTGCAAGTCGCCCAGAATCTGAGTGAATGGAGTGCCATACAGTCGTCCAGAGCTGTTACTCTATTTTCGCCCAAACTTTCAAGTCGCCCAAGGTCTTAACAAACATAAAGGGTCGTGGTTATCAAGAAGTGCAGTTATTAAAGCAACCCTTATCACGTTCCACGATTCAAGGAATTCAATCGAAAGCGGTTGAACGATGAAGAGTAATGGCAGCAGTTAAAAAAAAGGCAGTTTTCATGACAAGTTGGTCATTACGAGGAAAGTGGGCAGTTATAGGATGATCAAGCAGTTTTTAGGGCGGTTGATCACAAAGAGATCGTCCATAAAGTATAAAAGGGAGAAAAGACATAGAAGCAAAGGATCGAATCAAAAACTCTCAAACAGAGAACATGTAATTTTAATTTCCTTAGCTTAGACTTAAACACTTTTCTTTCAGTAACTCGTGTACTTGCGCCCCTTGGAGGCACGTTGTTTTTAATTTCCAATTGTAAAGTTATCGTCAATAAAAGAACACCCATTTTTGGGACTTTGTCTCAAGAGGTTTGTCCTTTACACAATCGTCTGATCCTTTTTAATTGTTAGCGACTAACCCGCGCGAAACAATTTGGCACGCCTAGTGGGACAGTAGTGTTTGGTGTTGAAAGTACAAAAGGTGAAACAATATGCCTCAGAGATCCGATAAGGAAGCAGCAAGTCAGGGAGAAATCCAGTCTGTGATCGAGCGATATGAGGAGCAGCATGCCTCTCCACGAACAGATGGACAGAATCAGAGCAGTAACGGTCGTTACGAACCAATGACGGAGTTGAGTCCTCGAACCATGCGTGCATTACTTGGAGAACTCACACAAGACGTCGTTGAACAGGTAAATCTTCGAAGTATTCATAATATGGAAAGATTTACTCAAAATGGGAATGTACACTATGACAACATGGCCAAACAACTAAACACGTTGAACGAAACAATGAATAAGTTAGTAGGCCAAATATGTCAACATGTTATACCTATTGCAAATCACTTTCAAACTAGGACAATTATGGGACATAATCCCTCAGTCCTAAATCCGAATCAAGGGGTAGAATTACTTTCTGGTCCCTCTACTTCAAACCAAGGGGGTACTGCAGTGCCAAATCGAACAATGGTAGTGGTACGCCTAACTTGGGGGGTAATCA